GGCTGGAGAGCAGCTCTGAGGAGAAGGACTTGGGGTGGGAGGAGATGAGAAGCTGGACATGAGCCCCAGAGAGGGCTGGAGCCCAGAGACCAATTGTGTCCTGGGCTGCATCCAAAGAAGTGTGGCCAGCAGGGCCAGGGGGGATCCTGCCCCTCTGCTCTGCTCTGGGCAGACCCCACCTGGAGTAATTTGTCCAGCTCTGGAGCCCTCAGCACAGGAGAGACATGGAGCTGTTGGAGAGGGTCCAGAGAAGAGAAGATGATGGGAGGGCTGGAGCAGCTCTGCTCTGGAGCCAGGCTGAGGGAGTTGGGGTGTTGAGCCTGGAGAAGAGAAGGCTCCAGGGAGACCTTGGAGCAGCTTCCAGTGCCTGAAGGGGCTCCAGGAAAGCTGGGGAGGGGCTTTTCACCAGAGGGCAGTGATAGGACAAGGAGTGATGTTTTTAAGCTGAAAGAGGGGAGATTGAGGTTAGAAATTAGGAAGAAACTATTCACTCTAAGGGTGGTGAGGAAATGGAATGAGTTGTCCAGTGAGGTTGTTGATGCCCCCTCCCTGGAGGTGTTCAAGGGCAGGTTGGATGAGGCTTGTGCAGCCTAAGCTGGTGGGAGGGGTCCCTGCTCATGGCAGGGGGCTTAGAACCTGATGGTCTTTAAAGATTCTATGACCACTGATTTGCTTGAAACAGCATGTGAGCAAATACTTGCAGGTCCTGAATTGTTACACCACTTGTTTACATTTAACCAGTCTTCGGTGAGCGCAGACATGACAAAGGCAGCAAGTCCTGGAGACAGGGCCCAGGGGAGCACAGCCAGTTCCCAGACGGATCCCATTTGTTGCAGAGGCTAATCTGAAACAGAATGCAGAGCCCTGAGACACGGGGGCAGAGGGCAACGGGTGGAGGTGGCCAGGCCTGGGCTGAGGAGCAATGGATGGGGCCTGAGACTCCCTGGCTGTGAACACCTCCCCTGGACCAGCATCTGAGGTGCAGCCCTCTGCGGTCTCCCTGGTGCCCCCACAGGCTCTGGTGCCTCCACGGACCCTCCCTCCCCCCACAGACTCCCCTTCCCTCAGTTCCCCTCTGCCCACCTGCCAGGCACGGCCCCCCTGGGTTGGTCTCTTGGGGGTTGGTCTCACTGCTCCAGAAGAACCCTCTCACTTGTAGGACCCACCACTGCTAAGGGATGTCTGGAGTGAGCCAGACCCACAATCTGACCAGCGTGCTCTCTCCTCTGGGCAGCTGCAGTGTCAACCCCCTCCCCAAACCCAGCAGCAGCTCCTTGTGCTTTAAAACCACAGTTGTCAGGACAGTAATTTCAAGACAGCCATTGTCATCACCTTCGCTGCAGTGTCTGCAAGTTTTATTCCATCAAACTCCGGTTCCTTTAGGAACAACCAGGCAGCTGTCAAAAAATGGGAGACAAGCCCCAAGACCCCTCATCTCATGTTTCTCTGCCTGAGGTAGCTGAGGTTTACAAAAGGAGAGTTCCTTCAACACTCCAGGGTGTTTTTAAATAGAATTTACCTTGCTGAGACAGCAAGTTAAGTTTCAAAAGAAGCAATGAGGAAACAATCCTAAAAGATAAAGCAGGTTTGCACCCTGCACCCCAGAGAAATCCTATTTCTGTTTTAGTTTTTTGTTACACTTT